ATATATATATATATATATATATATATAAAAAATATGTATACACACACACACACATCATATACTCATTCTCTGCCTGTGTTTTTGTTTTAAACTTTCCACTATGCTTTGGGCAACCTGTAGGAAGGGACTATGCCAGACTCATCCTTGTGTCCTCCACAGCACATAGTAGTTATTCAATGAATATTTGTTTGAATTATTAAGTATATATCAATCACTGAATTTTGAGTAAATGCCCAAGGTTCCTGGTTCATGAACTTCCAAACATAATTCTTATTTATTAAAAAACCTTCATTAAAGAGGGCTTTCAAAGTGTATTCATATATGTAAGATAATTCAGAATTTAAGAATAAGTAAATATATCAATAGTAAAATAAAGGTAAGAGACTTAATATATTTAGGAAGAAAATATACAGTAGGAAAAAAAATAGTTAGGTATTAGAATAATTACCAGTAATTAGTTAGGTATCAGAAAATTCCAATTCTTTTACATAGAGTTACAGGCTAAAGGTTAAAAGCTAATGACCAAAGCCTAAATAACAGTTTGTGAATTAGTGAACAAGGACCCTGTTCACACATAGGAAAGAGTGTTCTGAAGTTAGACCCTACAGTTCATTACAAGAGCATTTGTAAAGTGTGACTAAAAAGCAAAGTACACTGTAATTTGTGGTAAATCACTCAATGGGAGAGACTGTGTTTTATTCATCTTTGTACCCACATAGTGCCCGATGAATTAAAATCAAAAGACACTTGTTAAAATCAACATAGACATTTAAATGACTGTTGTCCCGTTTAAAATAAGCCACCCTGCAAGACTGACGCACTATAATAATAATTTCCTTCCGTCAAAGAGCTTGCCATTGTTCCCCACTATCTATGGCAGGAAGTTAAAACTCTTTAGCCTGGGATTCAAGTGCCCTCACAATTTTCTTTCCTTTTCTAAAGTCTTATTTCCCACTTCTTTCCTTCAGGCATCTTATTTGTCAGTCAAATTGAACTCCTGATTTCACACTTGCTTGCCTCTGTATCCCTCTGTTCATCTGGCAATTTCTTATGTCATTTATCATTTTCTTCTTTGCTTTGTATCTTATACATAGCTTGTTTTCCTTATTATATTGTAAGTTCCTCATGTCAGAGACTAGGTCCTATATGTCTTTAACTATATTTTATTACCTAGCACAGGGCCTGGCACATGGTAGGCACACACACAAAGAATCTGTTGAAGGAATTACTGAATAATACCAGTAGAGCTCAACTGCGGAAACTACTTTTTGACAAGCCGTAAAAGAAAAATGCTTCTGTTAATTTATGACAGAGTTCTTAAATATAAGCAGGCATTAAAAATACTGGGGAAACTTGTTAAGTATGCAAATTCTTGGTGTTAGTTGTTACCAGGGGACTTAATACCAAGGGGCAACCATAACTATCTAATAAGGAATGAAGTCCTGAACCACTGCTGAGAATGAAAAGGGCAAAAAAGAAGAAAAGGATAAAGAGGATAACAGGTACACTCTTGGCAGTGGGAGTCATCATCAAACTCTTCCTCTGTAGTAAAGTCATTATTGGCTGTTTTTCCTTGCATCTGATCTTTGACTTTTTTTTTTAAATACCTGGGTTTTTGTTTTGTTTTTTATAAATTTATTTATTTATTTATTTTAGGTTGTGTTGGGTCTTCGTTGCTGTGCACAGTCTTTCTCTAGTTGCAGCGAGCGGGGGCTACTCTTTGTTGCGGTGCGCGGGCTTCTCACTGCGGTGGCTCCTCTTGTTGCAGAGCATGGGCTCTAGGCGTGCGGGCTTCAGTAGTTGTGGCACACGGGCTCAGTAGCTGTGGCACATGGGCTTAGTTGCTGCACAGCACGTGGGATCTTCCCGGACCAGGGCTCGAACCCGTGTCCCCTGCATTGGCAGGCGGATTCTCAACCACTGCGCCACCAGGGAAGTCCCGATCTTTGACTTTTTAAATCAGGATGACAATATCTGTTTAAGACCCATTCACTTAAATGTACATAGCGAAGCAATGATTATTTTTCTCAGAATACTTTTCAGATATGTACTGTATTTCAAAATGCACAATATATAGGTAAACCATAGAAACTTTTTATCCAATAAAGCTCTTTGAAAAGAATGTTACTATTTGTTCGGTATTGGAAGATCAGTTCTGCTTATAAAGCAGTAAGGCACTGAGAGAACTAATGTGTTCTCTTTAGATTATTTCAAAAAGGATATGAATTACAGGAAGCAAGACTTCAAGTGGTTAAGAAGAAAAGAGTTTTGCCTTTCAGAAGTTTACAAAATGCCAGTATTCTAAACTTCATACACTGAACTCCTTAGGATAGTCTGATATAGTACACGCTATCTGTCACTTCTCTATCCATTTGGCAAAGACTACATAGAGACAAATGTTACAGAGGCTCAAAAATGGAGACTTCTGGAAAAATGACCAAAGCCAGAAATAAAGTTGTACTAATTAGAAAACAAATAATTAAATGGCCAAACCCGAATGTTGTGTGATGCTGAAAAGAGATAGATTTCTAAAGCATACCATCTGTTTTACAGTTTTTATTTTGCTGTACTGCAAATCTACTCAGTAGTTTTGCAATGATCTAGCTGCTAACTCATTTGCACAATTACTTTAGGCCAGAAATACTTATTGCACAGAATCATTTGAGAGTTCAACACATTCACAGAAGAGGGCAGATATAAACCATTTTTGAGTGAAGACAATTTCTTTAGTCCTTAAAGAAAATGTTATTCAAAAAAAATGATTAGAAATTGCCAAAAGAAAATCAGAATGCTATCACTATAAATTTATGGTATCTAAACCTATCTAGGCCTCAGGGTCACCATCAACCCCTCTGTTGGCCATTCTAATGAAAACTCATTCTCATCTTGACCCCTCGGCAGCGTTTACCCCCTCGGCAGCGTTTACCTCCTGCTTTCTCAAACACTCTTCTCACTTAATTTCCTTGGTACCACCCTCCTGACTTTCCTTCTTCCTCATCAGCTATTCCTTTTCAGCCTCCACTGCTAGCTTCTCCTCTTCTAAATGTTGTAGTGTTTAAGGCAGGGTGCTAAGGCCTCTTGTCCTTTCTATCTGTATTTTCTTCCTAGCTTATCTCTTCAGCCCAATGGCTTTACATGGCATCTATATACTCAGGATTCACAGATTTATATCTCCAGCTCATTATTCTCGAGTTCCAGGCTCATACATTCAATGATCTATTTGAAATCTCCACTTGAATGCTACATAGGCATCTCAAATTTAGCATGTCTCATATGGAACTCTTGACTCACCACTCTTCCCCCAGAAAAAAAAAATCTATTTCTCCTACAGTCTTCCACATCTCAGCAAATGGCACTACCATCCAACCAGCTGTTAAAGCAAAATCTAAAAATCATCCTGATACCTCCCTTATCCTTATCTCTTATCTGATCCATCACCAAGCCCTATCAAATATACCTAAAAAATATATTACATTTATTTCTCTTCAACTCTATTGCTACCACCCTGTCCAAGCCACCATCATCTCTCAACATTACTACTGCATTATAAGCATATCATGTATTTGCAGTACCTAACACAGTGTCTAGCAAGTCATAGATGTAAAATAACTTTCTGCATAGATAAATATTACTTAGCAATATTCCTATGTCTCTAAGACAATCTCTAATTTCCATTCTCAGACATTTTCTGACATACCTACAGATATTCATTTACTGAATCATCTACTCATCCAGCAATTATTTATTATTGTATTAATTGGTATTAGGTTTAACTGCATATTTCACAGTATCTCAAAGATGACAGACATTTGTCTCCTGCTCATGTAAAAACGTCTGGAGGTAGGCAATCAAGGGCTGGCATAGCAGCTCTATATGCTAAGAGCCCTGGTTCCTTGCATCTTGTTGCTCTGCTATCCCGTTTATAAATTCCACTCTATGATCTAATATGGCTACTTAAACTCCACCCATCACAGCTGCATTTCAGTCACTAGGGAAGAAGATGGATGTGAGGAAGGCCATACCCCCTCCATTTAAGGACACTTCCCAGAAATTGCTCCTACCTCCACTTAGATCTCATTGACCAGCACCATAACTAGCAACGATGGGGAAGAACTAGCAAAGAAGACAAGATAGCAATGTTACCAGCTAAAAGCCAGGATCCTCATTTCCACAGAAGAAAGAGAAAATAAATACTGAGAGGTAGTAGCATCCTCTTCCAAAGTTCCTGTTGTGACCAGGTAATGTTCTGGGTACAGGGATACAAAGACCAGTAAGACATAGGGTCACAAGGGCTTCCCTGGTGGCGCAGTGGTTGAGAGTCCGCCTGCCGATGCAGGGGACACCCGTTCGTGCCCCGGTCTGGGAAGATCCCACAGGCCGCGGAGCAGCTGGGCCCGTGAGCCATGGCCGCTGAGCCTGCGCGTCCGGAGCCTGTGCTCCGCAACGGGAGAGAGGCCACAACAGTGAGAGGCCCGTGTACCGCAAAAAAAAAAAAAAGACATAGGGTCACTGCTCAAGGCATTAGTCCAATGGGGGAAAGCAATATGTAAATGAATAATTACTCAAGATTTCAAGCCAGGCAACAGACACTGTTAGAAGACCTTGGCTTTTCTGAATCCCTGAAGATTCCTTGCATCCAAAGAGTTGAAAGAGAAGTAGATGGTTCCAGTGCTTTACATCACTAAACTATACAGACTGCTTCAATATTCCACAGCTTTAATAATGGACATTTCTCAGCTCTATTTTACTGGATTTGATACAAAAGAAAAATTCATTTAAACCTCTATAAACGTATATAAACAACAGTGGTAGTAATTTTAACAGTTTGAAAATACCCATTTCAGAAATGTGGCAACACTCAATAATTTTTTTAACTTGTCAGAAGATGAAACTAAATGACTGTTTTAAGAAGACTATATATAAACTACAAGGCCAGATGAGAAGAAATAAGCAATGACGGCATGCCAAAAAGAAAAAAAAGAAGTAATACTGTAACTTACCGTTAACCACTGGTTATCTAGTAGTTCCTTAGCTGTGATTCTATGAGCAGGATCTACTTTCATAAGTTGTTTCAAAACACTTTTAGCTGCAAATAAGGGAAAAATCCTGAAAGTCTTATTTATCTCAACTATAATTAGTACCACACATTTTCCAGTTTATTTAGGATTAGGTCTGTATGATATGAAGGAAACTTCTCAGTTATAAAATAAGTATCATCAGTACCAATGGCTTAAAGTTTAAGGCCTACAGTGAGGTTTTATTGCCTGGATTACCTGGTTTATGGTCTATAGTAAAAAATTAGCTAGATGATCAGCAAATTTCCTCTTCAATTTTTATTATGCATTTTCTGTTTTTGCTGAAAGTTTCAACTATAACAAGCACAGTGAAGATATCACTATTACCACAAGTAAATAGTGTATTTCTACAAGTAAATTTAATGACTAACCAGAGATCTAAAGTATCTGAGTTACTGGCTGCCTTTCTTATATTATGTATACTTGCTTTAGTAAATAATAACAAATCTATACTTACCAGAATCACTTATGGAATCCCAGACTGAACCTTTAAAATGTAGTTCTCCCTTTCTTATTAACTCAAAAAGCTTCTCTTCTGAGCTTGCCATAAAGGGTGCTTCTCCACATAATCTACAACAAAGACAGTTGTTTTGTTAAGATTTTTTAAAAAATAATCAGAATGAGGCTATTAAAAATTAAGTTTCCACAGGACTTGGAAGTAGTGGTGCTTCATATTTAAATAAAGGAGAGAAAGAGGTGGGAACTTCTCTGGATGTAGAAATGGAAGCGAAGGGCTTTTGCAAGATCTGTGCTAGGCTCTTGTATACATTGGAACTTCCACATTTGCAAATGACCCAAAGCTCTTCCAGGTGGGGAAACACTAAAGGGTTAAAATACAGAAAGGTGTGTGAGTTTAAGTGCACAGTAATAGTGGTGGATGATAGAGGAGAAACACTTCAACGTGAGCAAAGGTAAGGTAACACCTTAAGGTACATAATTCACATTGGACTTACAGAAAGATATACAGAGTTATCAGAGTCTAACGAGAGTTATCAGACTCTAATGACCATGTAAGAGTTTTACCTGTGGTAAAATGCTACACGAATGTTAGTGATAGTAAGAATGACCCTGGGGTCTACAGGCTCTGAGTCAAAACCAAAAATCCATTAAAATGGCCACAACTCTTCAAAAATGATACATAAAATGAAGAAAATCTGAATGAGGAAAATCAGTCTGGAAGGGTGAAAGCTGAGTGTATGTAACAACCAATATCAGTAAAGCCATGTGTATACAGTAGACATGGGCTTATTTGTAGATTCTGTAGTACGGGGACTATGAGTCTTTAGACTCTTTTAAAGGAAGCACCGTGCTATACTTTACAAAGAGCATGGCAAGCCTATGCTTCAATAGGTGATCTAGTCCAAAACTACAAGAACATGCTTAAAAGTTGCAAACGTTAGCCATCATCTTTATCATCAACCCCAACATCTGAGGGCAACCCTGTAGACAACAACCAGATTTTCCCAATGACAACCAGAGAGAAGTTGGACCTGGACTCATCACAGAGGCAACTCTAACTCTGTATGTCTATTCTTCAACTCTCAGCATTATACTTTTCCACTTTATTATGGAAACAGTAAAACGGCAGAATTCCATTACACTTCCCAAATGCTGGTCTATTATGTACATAAGTATAATGTATAATGATCTCCAGGTCTCTTAACAGATTTTTACTGATTTTTGTTTTTAGTCATATTCTTCTTAAAGTTCTTTAAAAACCTTTCCCACGAATATTTTTTGAATAAGTCTAAATTTGGTAAATATCTTACATGACAATGATTTTCTGGGGGGGGGAAGGGGGAGAGCTGTTCTCATTCTAGTAATTTATCAAACTAGGCTGGATAACACAGCTTTTCATTTACCAATAGGTTCTTGTTAAGTGATAAATATTTATTAAATTGTTCTGCAAACTCTCATTTTAATACTTTTTATTTCTCCAGCTCATTCTGACCCTCCTCTCTCTGATCTTACTTGCCTTACTACTGTTTAGTTTTAAAATGCAATAAAAAAAAAGCCCCCAAAAATGGTCTTATGGACAATTACAATCTATTATAGCAAGTACAGGCCAGCAAAAGCCTGGCTCATTGAGTCTGTTAACAACCAGTGATATGCACATTCACCAATTTCTTAGCTGCTCCCACACTGCCTGACTAGCATGCAACTATATAGCTCAAGGGCTACCTTTTAAAAATTCCACTTTTTTCTGTCCTTTACAATTTTATTCACACAAAATGTATCTAATGGTTGGTCAATCAGCAGCGTATGAAATTTTATGACAGCAATTTTCTGCACATCCAGAAAAGGGAATCCAAGACGTGAAAAATGCCTCTTAAAGCCTTCCGATTATTTTGCTTCATAGGAATCAAAACAGCAAAAGATAGTGCCCATAAAGAGTATTTATGTCAATTTCACCTTGAGAAAGTATGTTATCATTGTCCAATTAAGTAGCAATGCAACAGGGGTAACTGATAAACAAGAAAATAACCCCCCTGGAGAAGGTAATATGTTTGCGCCCTTGTTGAAGGAAATTATCTGTAAGACCACTGGGCTCAGGCAGATTAATGAATAGGCACTGATTAGCTAAGCAAGAGTCTACTGTAAAGAAAAAAATATGTCATCATTATGATACGCAGTCACACTCAGAAGCAGAAAAATTAAAATTACATCTTTAAGTAGGAGAAAAAAATTTAAGGTATGTAATACACTATCACTTCCCTTAACACCAAATTCAAACTAAGAAGGCAGCAAATACCACATGAATGGTGTAATAAGAGTTCACATGTATTATGTTTGACTTGTGTTGTCCAGAAAGTCGTGAGAGTATAAAACACTAATTTTAAATAGTTGTATTTTTAATTTAAAACTAAGGCTCAGAATTTTAATATGATTCTAATCAGCACAGAACAATGATCAAAAACTTTGTGAATACATTTATACTTTATGCAATCTAAGCAGTGATATGTCAGCTATCTGAGTTACAACTACGATCACAACATCCAATTTCTACTGCCCGTGTATTCCATTTCACAGGACTGTGAAAATATAACTACTGTGATGTCAATATTTAGAAACGATCTGGAAGAGGTAGTGCACAGTGAAATCTTCAATATGACCATAAAACTCATGTTGCATCAACATAAAAATGTTCATATTCACCAACAGGCAGAACAGTGACCACTAACTTTGCAGAACATCTCTTAGACAATTCACTTTAATTCAATTTAACAAACAAATATTGAGCACTGACTACATGTCTACTATTGTACCAGATACCAGGGATGCAAAGATGAATCGTATCTCTGTACTTCATGGAATTTAGAGTAAGAAAAACAGGTACAATACACATGATACAATAATTATATTCCATTATAATCTAGCTTTTAAAAGTGCAATGAGAACACAGAAAAGTGAACAATTTATTCTATCATATTTACACATGTGCAAACTTTCCTGATTAAATATGCTTATTATTTTGTTTTTCTTTCTACATTACTGTTTTACATGCATCTTCGTCTACTGCCTTAAATTCCAAAAAGTATACACATAATGAATGTAGTAACTGCTGGGGTCGAGTAGGACTTAGGGAAATAGAAGTCTTTACTGTGTGAGCTGGACACACCCAGGAAAGAGGTTAGTAGAGAAGAAAAAAGAACATCTAGGCAGAATGAACTGCATGAGCAAAGACCCAGAAGCATGCAATACAGGGTGCCTGAGTCATAAGGAGTGGCCTAGAGTGTCCACCAGCACAGGGTAAGTGAATGGGAACACATATGCAGACCAAGATTAGAAAGGCACTCTGGAGCCAGGCAGTGGAAGCTTTGTGTTACGCCATGCGGGGATGCTCTGAGATTTTTCTACAGCAAGGGAGAATTACCAGAGGTTGTTAATCAGGAAAGTAGTACAATCAGATTTGTGATTTAGAAAGACAACTCTGACAACTGTGTGAAGGATGAACCAGAGGCAGGAGAACCGACAGAAAGACACTGTAATCTTCTAGAAAGGGATTGTAAGGAGAAATGATACAAGTGAAGAGAAATGAAATAATAGGTGAGGACACTTCAAAGGAAAAATACAGGCCATGGGGTTTGACTGAATCTTGAGAGTGAGACAGAAGAGAGAGCAAGAAAGGCCAACATTTTCAGTAGCATGAAGAGAAGTAGAAACAACAGAATACTCTCTGGACCCTGGGCTGAACCTTTATCTGGTTACTGCCCGCTCCTCACACGTGCCCTGTCCATCAGGTGGCTCTCGTGCCAGGTCCCAGGACCTCCCTCTACCTGATGCTCTATAAGTGAATCTCTTGAGAAAATACAAAGAAGCTTTTGTTTTGTAGCAAAGGATCAGGGAGGTGCTGAGGCAAGTTTTTCATGTGGCTCAGATCATACAGTGCATTGTAGCATTTATAGATCAATGAAAAGAAAAGCTGAAAGTTATAAATTGATTGTATTAAAAAAATACCTAATGGATGTACCTGACAACTAATAAGACACCTTTTAGAATGACTTCCCAACTGTTTCTTTAGTCGCTTTCTTAAAACTATATTGTTTAGTTTTAATTTAAAGTCTATGTAATTCTACTGTTAGGGATCATCCATTCATTTTAAGTTGTACATTTAGCAGGGTACTTACAAAATGTACATTATGACACCTATGCTCCAAATGTCACACTGCTGGCTATAGTCGTGGGCATTGATAACTTCAGGGGCTGCCAAATAAGCAGAAATGAAATAATATTAATAATACAATAAATGACTTTTAAATGCTTAAACACAAAGCATGAAAAATGTGCTGATGTGCTGTAATTTATTCCCCCACAGGGAAAAAGAGAACCAACAGCAGATGTTAAGTGAATAATGTATAGGCTTAACAACTGACGTCGCTGTATCCTCACCCCTGCTATTTAGCTTCTGATGGAACAATGGCACACACTGTATAGCTAGATGTACAACTCTTCATCTCTTTCAAATTGTTAAGAAATGATTTTGCAAAGATTGTGTAGTTATAGTAGAAGACAACAATATCTCAGTTCTTTGCCAAAAACAGAACTGAAAACATACCTTAAGTAGATACAATTTAAAACAAGCCCAATAGGTAGAAATCTGGATTTACAGAGAAACTAAGATAAACGGTTATAAATCACTTCAGTAAAATAACAGTAGTAATAATAACATCATAGCACTCCTATGGCAGTATGAATTATCTTCCACATTTTCTAAATGAGAAAACTAAGACAGAGAGCTCCTATAACATAACTTCATCAAAAAGCCAATTAGGCCCAGGATGATGACTAGGATGCAGGCACTCCTGACTCCCCAACTCTGGGCTACTTACTTACAATGTGTCCACAATAGGGTTCCTTTAAACAATCTTCTCAAAGTAGAACTTTTTTTTTACTTTGAGGTAGCACATTTTTTAATGATTAGGTTTTTTATAATGGCTGGCTTTCTAAAAAGTCACATATGATATTCCAGGACTATGTCTATTATACTTCTACAGCTAGGTAGCACCACACAGGGCCGACTGTAAGTTATACGTGGATTCACCCCTGCGTCGTTCAAGGGTCAACTGCGTGTGTTTGAATAGAACTTTAAAATTGACAAAGCACTTTTGTATAGATGATGTTATTTGTGTAAATTATGTTAAGAATCATGTGAGACGGGTATGTAGCCATGACTTACTTTGCCAGCGAGGAAATTAAGGTTCAGGTACACATATGAAGCGACTCACCTAAAGCAACACTGTTACACAGCGCCTCCCATGTAAAAGGTGTTTTTACTTTAGAAAACAGTTTCAATCACCCCCCCAACATACACACAGCTTTTATAACTACTGAAAGCAAATGAAATTTCATTTCCTCTGCCTATTGTTAAAGGAACTAAAAAGCAACAACAAAGGAGTTAAAAGGTAAACAGAAGAAAGAGAACAGGCTCAACTGTAGATAATTAACAAATTGAATAATTCTTCTCTAAATCACTGAAAATTAAAATTAATATTTTCCTTTAAGCAATTACTTGTATTCTTTAACTCTACTTAAACTTTTAAAATATGGAATCATTAAAGCTCAAGTTGCTCTATGGCTGCATGTCTACGACAAGGGCAGATTCCGTGATCCGATTCCCTGACAGACCTCCATGTAGGTGCATCACGCAGCAGGGGCCCGGAATTTGGAGCCCTCACTCCCTCTTTCGGAGTCACCTTAATTATCAGGGGCATCTCTACTTGCACTGTCATCACAGCTCTCACAGGGAGGCAAAGGCCAGACTGGCTGGGCCAAGAAGCCATTTAGGAAGTCAGCAAAGCTCCACAAACCATCTGCCTTCTCTCTTGTTCTCTCACTTGTCTCACAGTGCAGACAACTAATAAGCAGGCATAAAACTCAGGGTGCTTGGATATATTTTCCCCATGTAACTACAGACCAGATGTCTTTTGCCAACAGGAGGATATGAACAGAATCTAAAGTAGCCTCTTCCCAAATAAGATAAAACAATTTAGAAGCTTTATGCATCAAGCAGACAAAGAAACAATGAACTAGGTATACTGCTCAGCCATAAAAATGAATAAACTACTGATATAACAACACGGGTAAGTCTCAAAATCATTACATGGAACAGAAGAAGACAGACACAAAAGAATATATACTTATGATTCAATTTATATAAATTCTAGACAAGCAAAACTAAACTAAGGTAATGGAAATCATCAGTGGTTGCTGGGGTCTGGGTGAGGAATCGACTGGGAGGGACACAAAGGAAATTCCTGGGGTGATGGAAATGTTCTACATATTCACTGGGGTGGTAATTGTACAAGTATATGTATTTGTCAAAACTCACTAAACTTTACACTTAAAATCTGTGCATTATATTATATGTAAATTATGTTTCAATAAAGTATATTTTAAAGAAATCTACTCAAAGTACAAAAAGAATCTATCAAAGCCCTGCGCTGGTGAGTGACTTTAATAACTCTCTTAGAAATCATCAGAGGAAGCAAGCACGATTAAATTAACAGTATTGACTAGGCGGCCGAGATGGCAAAGCAGGAAGACCGTGAACTTCCACAGACACACCAAAATTACCACCACTTACAGAGCGACTGTCTATAGGAATGACCTGAAAACCAGCAGAAAACAATTTCCACAACTAAAGACATAAGTAGGAACTACAAGAAGATGGATAGGAGGGGCGCAGACACAGTAGAGTTAGGACCTACGCTCTCAGATCGGCGAGCCACAGACAGGAGGAATGTCACGGTCTTGAGGTCCTTCCCAGGGAGTGAGGGCTCTTGGTCCCACAGTGGGCTCCCCAGCCCAGGGGGTCTTGCACCAGGAATACAAAGCCCCCAGAACGTCTCCCTCTGAAAACCAGCAGGGCTTATGTCTGGGAGAGCTGGAGCGCTACAGCAAACAAGAGACTCCACTCTTCAAGGGTGCACACAAAATCTCATCCACTCTGAATCCCAGCTCAGAGGCAGTACTTTGAAAATGAGTCAGACCCACTTGCTGATCTTGGAAAACCTCCCAGAGAGGGAGGGAGCAACTAGGACTCCCCCTGCTGACTGGCAGCAGCCCTTTTGGGGAGTTCATTGTAACACGTGGACACTGGTGCTGGTAAGCACCATTTTGGATGCCTCCCCCTAGCTTATTAGCGCCAGGACCTGCCCCACCCACCAGCAGGCACACACCAGCCCCACACCCCCGGTAGGCAGATGCTAAGACCTGGCCCGCCCACCAGCAGACTTACACCAGCACTAAGCCCCCCATACCATTCAGACGCCATGTGGGAACCCAGTCTTGCCCACCAGCAGGCCAGCAGCAGCCCCATGCAGTTAACCCTGCAGTAAGCCTACCCCACCTTCTAGCAGGCCCAGAGCCACTGGACATGACACAGCCTCAAAGCCAACCAGGCTGGGGGCCAGTCCCACCTACCAGTGTGCTCACAGTAGTCAGCCCTACCACAGCAGAAGGGTGCATGCAGCCCACATAGGAGTTGCCCCAAGAACATATAGCTCCAGTGACCAGAGAGGAGCATGCTGTTGGGCCCCACAGGACATCTATATAAGGCCACTTCTCCAAGATCAGAAAACGCAACCAACATACCTAATACATAGAAATAGACACAGAGAATTGGGCAAAATGAAAAAAAAAAAAACTGCAAAAAGCACAAACACATGAAGTTTAAATAATATACTACTAAACAACCAGTGGGCCATTGAATAAGTCAAAGCGGAAATCAAAAATACCTAAACAGAAATAAAAATGGGAATACAATGATCTAAAATCTGTGGGACACAGCAAAAGTAGTTCTAAGAGGGAAGTTTATGGAGACACAAGCCTTACCTCGGGAAACAAGAAAAACCTCAAATAAACAATCTAGCCTTACCCTTAAAGGAACTAGAAAAAGAAGAACAAACAAAACCCAAAATTAGTAGAAGGAAGAAAAAATAAAGATCAGATCGGAAATAATAGAAATAGAGACTAAAAAGATATAGAAAAGAACAATGAAACTAAGAGCTAGTTCTTCAAAAAGATAAAATTGATAAACCTTTAGCAAGACTCACCAAGAAACAAGATAGAAGACACAAATAAAATCAGAATGAAAGAGAAGTTAAAACCAACACCACAGAAATACAAAGTATCGTAAGAGATTACTATGAACAATTATATAACAATCAAATGGACAATTTAGAAGGAACAGATAAATTCCTTGAAATGTATACTCTCCCAAGACTGAATCAGGAAGAAATAGAAAATATGAAGAGACCAATTACCAGTAATAAAATTGGATCAGTAATTTAAAAACTCCCAACAAACAAAAGTCCAAGACCAGATAGCTTCACAGGTAAATTCTATAAAACACTTAAGAAGAATTAACACCTATCCCTATCAAGCTATTCCAAAAAGCTGAAGAGGAAGGAGGATTTCCAAACTTATTCTACAAGGCCAGTGTCAGCCTGCTATCAAAACCAGGTAAAGATACCACAAAAAAGAAAATTATAGGCCAATATCACTGATGAACCAGATGTAAAAAATCCTCAAAAAAATCTTAGCAAACCAAATTCAATAATACATTAAAAGAATCATATACCATGAGTAAGCGATATTTAGTCCAGGAACTCAGGATGGTTCAATATCTTCAAATCAATCAATGTGATACACCACATTAACAAATTGAAGGGTAAAAATCATATGATCATCCTAATAGATGCAGAAAAAGCTTTTGACAAAATTCAACATCCATTTATGACAAAAACTCTCCAGAAAGTGGGTATGAGGGAACATACCTCAATATAATGAAGGCCGTAATGGCAAACCCACAGTGAACATCATACTCAATGGTAAAAAGCTGAAAGCATATCCTCTAAGAGCAGGAACAAGACAAGGATGTCCACTCTCACCACTTTTATTCAATATAGTATTGGAAGTCCTAGCCACATTAGTCAGAGAAGAAAAAGAAATAAAAGGAATACAAATTGGAAAACAAGAAGTAAAACTGTCACTGTTTGCAGATGACATGATACTGTATACAGAAAATCCTAAAAATGACAACAAAGAACTATTAGAATAAATGAATTCAGTAAAGTTGCAGGATACAGAATTAATATTTAGATATTTATTGCATTGCTATACACTAACAACAAATTATCAGAAAGAGAAATTAAGAAAACAATCCCACATATGGATCAATGGAACAGAATAGTGAGCCCAGA